CCGGGGGTCCAGAAATCTCAGGGGGCCCTTTTTCTTTTGAATGAGAGGAAGCAAACTGTTTCGTCAATCAACAACTCTGGAAATACGTGCAGACATGTGGTGTGCCAAGTACTCTGCAAGGGAGTGTGGAAAAACCATAGAAAAGAGGAAAAGTTCTTTCAGGAGCTGTGTTTAGTTGGGGCAACGAGCTGTAAATATACTGATAGATGAATAGCAGTGTAAGAGGTGTCTCAAGGAAGAAGATGATGAATTACCAAATAGCAATGTCAAGAGGATAGACATGTTGTGGGCGTTAAGAGGAAGGTGAGGTCAGGGTGGACAGGGTTGGCCAGGGAAGTCTTTGTGCCAATGGTGGATGTAGAACTCTACTCCACTTTAAAGCTGTAAGTGCCAACGATCAAATCAGTTATCCCCAAATGGCAAAAGCCCCGGTAGATGTTTGAATAGGATGGTGGTGCAGGTATGAGAATCTGAAGACCTGGGTTCATTCTGGTTCAGAAAGACTATTGAACAGAGAAGCCTCCATTTTCTCATCTGTAGAATGGGTGTAATAAATGCCCTCACTACCGTCCACACTAAGTGAAATAATGTGAATCATGGTGTAAATTATAACTCAAGTAATAAGCAAGTTATTGCTAATGATGTTGTATTATGATTTTAGGAATATAATTTTGCATATAGAGATACTGCTTAACTTTAAGGGCTCAAATGGCAATTTAAACATCTATACATAGTTTATAAGGAAGAGTTGGAGGTGTGGGAAGTTAACTGTGGATATGAAATCACAACATGCAGGTGACCAATCAGCACACGCATAACCTTGGTTTGAGGTCTTGTTAAAAGCAGGGTGGGGTGCCTGGGTGGCTCAGTCAATTAAGTGCCTGCCTTCAGCTCAGGTCATGATCCTGGAGTCCCAGGATCGAGCCCCACATCGGGCTCTGTGCTCATTGGGGAGTCTGCTTCTCCCTCTGCCCCTCACACCACTCATGCTCTCCCACTCTTGCTCTCTCTCTCTCAAATAAATAAAAATCTTAAAAAAAAAAAAGCAAGGTGAAGACATTTTTTAAAAATATTATAACTAATACAGGTATTACCTTTCTACATATATTTCCATTTTCCCCTAACAGTGAGGATAATTTGCTCACAACGTCCAAAATAAACATTACATTTTTAATCTGAACGTATAGAGATTGCACATTGCACGCTGCATAGAACACAGTGTATATTGAATGAAGGAGCTTTCTGAATTTACAATGCAATCTGGTAATTGTTTCTAATTTGGGGAATGGGGAACATTTTTTCCCCCTCTTCATTTTGATGGAAAAATGCTTGATGTATTTGTAGTGGGATCAAAATACACACAATGTGAATCAAACGTGCATAAATAAAAAAAATAAAGGTACATCTTCCTTAGTTTTTCGGCACGAGCTCATCTTGCTCAGAGACCCTGTTTATATTGAGAGGATGGGCATCTTTTCCTTGACAATTTCTGTTCTCTCCAGGCTAACAGGGTTTCTTGGGGGTAAATACTGAGTCCATTCAAAGCTCAAATCCTCTTTCAGGACAATGTCTCCCCTTCGAAGAATTTCCCTCTCCTCTTCTCTTGGTCTGGACTGGAGGACTGTGTGGAGGCAGAAGGGTGAGAGGAACCCCAGGCTGCCCTCTGCAGCCCCTATCCTCCTGCTGAGGGGTGGGCTCCCGGAGTTCTGCTGGTCATGGTGGGGTAATTAGCGCCATCCTTGGATATCACGCTAGTGCTCCCTGCTGATGTGCAGGGACCTGTCCCATGGCCTCCATGGGTCTGTGGATCCTACACTCTGTCCTTAGGCCTCCCACCACCAGATGGTCCCCTTGGCACTTGTCTCCTCCCTTTTCCCCCAGTCCCACCCTCTCCTTGCCATCTTAGCACCACACCGCTGTGTGAGCCCCCCGGGACCTGGGGTGGCCCCAAGCCAATCCATTCCTTCAGGTCAAGATTGCTGGAAATCTCCAAGAACTGGCTATATTCTAAACTCACGCTGTGTTCCCAGGCTCCCCCCAAACTTCTCTAATTGTCCTTATGCTCAGGTTTGGCCTTGGCCCTTCTCCTGTACCTCTCCTCCGGCTCCTTTCTGCAGCCCAGGAAAGCTTCCGTGAGCTTTAGTGAGTTAGTCCCTTCTTGGAGCTAAGAGCCTCCTGTCTCTCCCTTCAACCCCAGAACCAGTCCTCCAACATCCAGCCCATCAGACGGCACATGTTTCCTTTTTAACTTTTTTTTTTTTCTCAGCAAGGCTTGATTTTTGCAAAACAGGAGTGTTTGTTTGCAGACCTTTGTCTAACTGTAATCTTTTAAGATCCATTTTTAAACAAAGTGCAATGGTGCTTCTCATTCTCATTGAATTCTGTTTATGGATCCAATGGGTAGTGATTTCTGGGACATTTAGGAAAAAAAGGAATTACTAAAAAGATAATGATATAACATCTCAAAATATTATTTCTGTTACAGATGTTTAAAGTATTTCGGTAGTTGTGACACTACCGTGAAGTGGGTGATGGCGTCATCAGTCCCCTGGTTGGGACGGGCTTGGTCATTCATTCTGCAACTTAAATGTTCCCGGGTTATGAGTCACTCACAAAATATTTGTTCAACAGCTACTTCATTCCAGACGTGGGAGAAGTAGACCATGTTTTTACAATTGGTTGTTAAACAAGCCATAGGTAAACCACCCAACATGAAGATTAATGGGATAGGAATACAGGTAGAATTTTAGAGGCCCCAAACAGTGGAAAACCCTGGAAAAGGAGTGAAGTAGGGCCTTGTCAGAACAGTGTACCACAGCTTGAAGCCAAAATTGAATACTCTAGGAACCAGAGAAAAGTGCCTTTCACCTTCAGGGATCAGAACAAACCTAAAAGGCTCCTGGCAGTTTGCCACGTGCAGAGAAGGAGCAAGTCCCAGGAGATCCAGCCCAAGAGGGAAGAGAGGAAAGCAGGGCAGGGAGGGACCCTACCTATTTTGAACCAGAAGATGTAGTAACCAGTCCAATTCAGAAAAGTATCTTTTTCTGATGACTTACTGTACTCTTAGCATTTGGGATTTTTCCCCCCTTGCTTTTTGGTTGTTATGACTTTTGCTTGCAGGAAATTGAAGCCACTGGTGAATAAATGTTCAAGGAGAAATGGGGGTCCCTAGACCTTCAGTTATTTCTGGGGTCAGCTGCCATTTCCGGATTCCAGGGAGATGTGGATACTGATGTGGGAAAGCCCAGCAGGTTAGGGTTCAGATGTATGATCGTGGACACCATCATCCTTTCTGCTTGGATGACTCGGTACAAGCAATTTTAACAAAAATCATGCATGTGCTGTGTAATGTCTATACACATGTCAGTGTAATGTTTTCTTCCTTAGAAACAGCGGAGCTTTACCAGCCCATGGTTCTTGACACTCTCCTGGTAGATGTGACTAATAAGGTCCTTCTGGCAAAGTGGACCCAATACTAAGCTAGTTGCTTCACCCACACTAGAATAGACTCATATGGGGGAAGATATTTTTAGTTTAAAGTTTGGGGTATGGACGTCTTCGGTACTTAATTGCAAGGAATTAATCTATAGACCTGCCCTGTTCAATATAATAGTCACTGCCATGTGTGGCTCTTTAAATTTAAACTAATTATAATTAAATTGAACTAAAGTTCAGTCATATTAGCCACAGTTTTAAGTGCTCAATAGCCACATGTAGCCAGTGGCACATTATTATATTGGGCATTGCGAGTACAGATTTCTATCACCACAGAAAATTCTACTGAGCCGACTAGTACAGACCGTAGTGCCAGAATGTGGCTGGAAGAGAACAATGGCTCAGGACATTTTTTTTTTAAGATATATGCATGTATGTGTGTATTAATTAATTTATTTATTTATAGAGAGAGAAAGCACACAAGCCGGGGGAGGGGCAGAGGAAGAGAGGAGAGAAGCAGCCTCCGCACTGAGCGCAGAGCCCCATGTGGGCTCATGCCGGATTGATCCCATGACCCTGAGATCAGGACTTGAGCCAAAACCAAGAGTTGGAAGCTTAACCGACTGAGCCACCCAGGGGCCCCTGTTGGTGTTACTTTTTAATAGCACAGTTTGGGAGTAGAACTAGAGGTGAAAAGAAGAGAAAAACATCAATATCTTTCCCAGAAATGAGGCCCAATCGTTCCCTTCACCCCAACTGAAGTTTTGTGGGATGGCACTGTGAATTTGGAAACTGAAAAGGAAACTTGGAGAAATCAGCTGTGTTTAAACACTAGCATCCATAAGTCAGCCTTCTTGATGCTTGGCTTAGCCAATGCCCACAGCAGGCAGGATGGTCTGCTGCGCCAGCTCCATCCTATGGTCAGTCCCACTGGGCTCAAGTCCACTTGCTCTGTTCACTAGCTGTACTATTGTGGACAAACTTGTGTTTGACATCTCTGATCTTGAACTGCATGTCTTATAAAGGGAAAATAATTGTGCCCATCTACAAGCATTTCAGGTAGAGCCAATGAAAACATACACAAAATATTTGGCACATAGTAGGGAGACATAAAAAAAAATTTCCAGTTGAGAGATTGATCTTACTTGAAGAATACATGTAAACATATTAGATTTTTAATCTCACTGAAACCTTAGTTATAAAAAGATCAGATCATAAACACTTTAGAAAATGTATGTAAATATTTACCAGGATCTTTGTATGTCACAGGACTTTTCAAGTTTAAAGGTACTGAGGAACGGAGAAAACTGATCTTTTTCTTTTTTTCAAACTTCAGTGCCATATGGTGTATTTATTGCAGGCTTGAATGAGATTTGAAGAAATTCAGACAATTAAGGTTAATACCCATATATGATTATTAAGCCTGGCAAAATACAGAGATCATTGAAATAGACATTTTAGCTGAATAGGAGTTTTATAAAATTACACAGATCTTCCAAGTGATCATAAATCAGTTCTCATTACAGGTACTTAAAGCAATTAAAAAGTCACAAAAATTACACTTGTAAGGTTACAGTGTTTAATGTTCATCAAGTTAAATTTCTACAACTAGCAAGATAACATAGGAGCTACTAGGACTCAGATCACATCCTAGGGAATGTTTACTTGGCGATCCCAATGACACCACAAACAAAATGACTCCCGGCGTTTCCCATCTGTGTACTTTCTTCGTTGCCACCTTAGCCCAAGTCATCTCATTTCTCGTGGACCACCACTGTGCAGCCAATGATGGAATGGTCTCCTAAGAGTGTGATCAGAGAATCTTCCAAGGACACGGTGGCCACACCATCCTTGCCAGCAGTCACATTGCCCAGGTCTCCAACATGCCTCTTTTGATCTTTTGGTCCACTGTGTTTTTTGGATAGAGGATTAAAGTGAGGACCTGCCCTGGTACAGCCTTGGGTATTATCTCCAAACTGATGGATGTGGAATCCACGTTCACCTTCAGTCAATCCTGTAATGGTTCCTGACACCACAACAGACCCACTTCCCTTCTGCACGAAGTGGATGGTGCCTTCCACCGGGCCCTGGCCCTTCAGGACGCACACGGCCTTCATCTCCATGACTGGCGAGGCCGCAAGGACTCCAAAGGCAGCGGAGGATGCCACAGAAGACGCCAATGCCGAAAACTGATAAATTTGATAACATATTTTTTTTTAACTTCTGTGCAACAAGCCAACTACATACGCCAAATTAAAAGGCAAACTGGGGAATACATTTTCAACCAACATGATAAACAAAATATTATTATATTTGATTTTTCAAAATAAACGGTGATAAAAAATCTATGAGAAATACCCCAGTACGAGGAAAAAAAAAAGGATGTCATGTTGCATAGAACTAGAAATAAAAATTGTCAACAAATGAAAAACATTTCAATGTTATAAATTTAAAATATGCAAATTAAAATAACCGAAGATTCTTCTCTTTTTTTTGGTCGGTAAATGTAGTGATTAAAAAAATAAATAATGAATACATATCAGGAGAGACACATGAAACAGAGACTCATGCTATACTCAGAATAGTAATTGTGAGATGAGGATCTAAATTTTTAGATAGCCTGGCAATATATTTTTGTTTGGGTTATTTACTAATTGCTGGTTGTCTCTTGGTCCCGTGTCAAGGACTGAGCCCAGAGAGCTCAGACCATATAGTTCCTTTCACAGCATAGAAAAAATTTCCTTTTGGCCTATTATAGTTAGGCCATATGGTTCTCCTGCCTTAAGAAGAGGAATTCCAGCCAGGGAGGGGAGGTGCCAAGTCAATGCCTTCCTGCCTAGGGGGTTATGGGAAGGAAGAAGGAATAGGAAGATTATGGAAGTCTATTGTTAGGGTTCTTATTCTCTTGAACTTAGTCCATTTTTGAGGCAGGATTGTTAGGGGAGCAGTAAAGTGATATGGTAGAAACTTCAGAAAGGCATAGAGGAACTGGAGAACAGGATGCCAGTAGTGAGTATGGCGCCATGACCACTTGGTCACAAGTCAGTGTTGCACTGCTAGATGGAATTGTCTAGGCAAAAGGTCAAGGGGGTGGCCCTGTTTGCTGACAACTTGGCAAAGAGATAAAGGAATGTTTTTGAGGACTAGTGCACCAGAGGCCTGAGGCTGGGGATTTAGGCCAGAAGCAAATGACCAGGCCTTCAGGGTTAGGTTGGAGCACAATGCTTGGGGATTAGGCTGGATAGGAATATAAAGTGCTTAACACAGTGTTTGACACACAGGGCATGTTAATTATCATAATAACAAGAATAAAGTCAATTTTTGCATGATATTAAAATGTTTATACATAATTTTTATCATATGAAGAAATGCTTACGTTATTACATTTTTAAAGAAAGAATGCAGATTTTGTACCTTTAATATTATATATGCACAAAAAGAACCATAAAGAAACATACCATAGTTTTTATAGTGTATCTGTAAGAGGTGTTGTTATATATACTTCATAAATCTGCCAATATTTATCCATTTTACTGTTGGTGGACATTGGAACTGTTTTCAGTTTGAGGCTGTTCTGAATAATGCTGCTACAAACATTCATGTCCGTGTCTTTTCATTTGCAAGAGCACACATTTCTGTTGGGTTTGAACCTAGAAGTAGAATATCTGGATCCTCCAGTATGTATACATTTAGCTGCTTTAGCAGTAATGCCAACCAATTTTCCAAAGTGATTATATGAATTTCCACACTCACCAGCAGCTTAGGAGAGTTCCCATTGCTGTACATTTTAATGAACACTCGGTATTATCAGTGATTTTAATCTTAGCCCTTTGGGTGGGTGTGTAGTGCTATCTTAGGATGGCTAATTGCATATCCCTGTTGACTAATGAGGTTGAGCCCCATTTCATGTGTTGTCTTGCCTTTTGTGAGTGCCTGTTTGAGTCTCTCACCCATTTTCTTATGTGATATTTTACAATCATAAAAAATGTTATTTCAACAAACAAAATGAATTAATCACATTTTGCCCGGCCCTTAATATCATTTATACAAGCAATCTGACTGTGGGGTACCATCTTAATGGGCTCTCCAAAAATGGGCCACCAACTTTAAATAGACATTGTTCTGTTTCTTTCTGAAAGTGCTTATCATTTTATCCATTGTTTATTGTTATTTATGCACCTATTTTATGTCTTCTACTAGACCATTAATTCTCAAACAATGGCAACTTTTCTGATTCCCCTTTGTACAATGCACCCAGCACTGTGCACTACACACAGTAAAAGCTTTTTAGACAAACAGGAATGCATATAGGAATGCAAAATTCTAATAATCTAATAATCTCATCTACCCTTTCTTTTCAAAGGTGACCAAATTGAGGTCCAGAAACCTGAGTCCAAGGTAGGGGTAGGGCAAATACCTTGATCTCTGGTCCATCCATGTTGTCCTTACACTATACTATGTTCAAAGAGATGAGGAGAAGATAAACAATAAATTATAGGTGTCACTGCCTCCAAATGTACACCGCAGAAGCTCCTTCAACTAAATAATTTCTAAACTTAGACTAAAACTATTCTAGAGAGGACATGTTCAAGTGTATCTACACCAAAAGATGGCATCAACAATCATGCACAGTAAGTTTGTGCCATTGTGTTTTTCTTTTTTTGGATGGGGTTTGGTTGCCAAAATGTTTCAGGATCACCACTTACAGAAATATGTCACTGTGACAAACACAAAAGTACAGACAATACACTGAAAATGGCAAACATTGAAAGAAAGTGGAAGAACTTCTGGACAGTGGGAAATATTCTTAAGGGCAGAGAGTGAATCATGCAATCTCTGAAAAATGGTATATCTGTACATACCTCAATAATCAGCAATAGAGCAAATAAGGGACTGATGAAATGGAAATATACAAGGTGAGTTGGGCCAACTATAGCAAATATGATGATCAGCCATACTCTTGAGTTCATGCCTAAGATCCAAGGCCATTTACCCCACGAAAATATAGCAAATGAAGCAAGAAGTGAAGGATCTCACAGCCATACCTGGAGCACATCCCAGCGGATATTCTGATAACAATTCAAACTCCTTCCAGGCTTGTTTCCTGCCTCAGAGAGGAAATGGAAGATCCAGCAAGGGGTTTCCAGAGCCCACTGAAGGGGACCAGAACATGCCACCCCAAAATATGCTGCTTTGGCATTTTGATTATTTTGAGCTGAAGACAATTGTGCAACAGCAGATGCAGGAAGTTTCTCTGCCCTCCTCTTCTCTGCCCAAAAGGCATAAATTTCCCATAAATAAGGTACCCTCCTGGTACCAGAAAGAAGAGACTATTCTTATCACTGGAGACAAGAGTCAATGCTGAGATGAATCTGCACAAACAAACCTTATTAAAAGGTTTGGTTAGTTTCCCCCATATATTTCCTAGTCACTCTCCTAGAAGCCTAAGCCCCTTTCCTTCATCTAGTCCCTTTATAATTTAGTGCCCTTTGCTAAAATGGTGTATAAGCTCCTGAGTCTTCTTTGGGAGTTTTCATTTCTTTCTTATAAAATCCTCCCTTATCACATTAAAATAGTAACATCAAATACATTTGTATGTATTTCTTCTGTGAATCTGTCTTTTGTCATGCAGGGGAGGAAAAATTCTCCTCTAGGCTCTTTGGATGTCTTAGGCTGGGCCTAAGAATTAAGCTGTTGTAAGACAGGTTAATACATTTATGGGAGCCTTCACAAAAGAATGAAAGCCAGAAGAAGAGGCCAGAGCAGGAGGCTAATATACCTTTTAGATAGAGAAACAATCCACTTGTGAAGAACTGACAAGGCAGAGGGGTTAGGCTTTGGGTACTAAGTTGTGGGGAAGTAACCAGGAAGATAAGGGCTAGTTTAACAAGGTTTGTTAATACAGACTTCTTGGCCCCAAATTCCCTGTCTCTGGCCATACACATGCCTTCCTTCCTCTTGGTATGGGGAGGGCATCTTTCATGTGGGAGTTTTATCTCCCACTTTCAGGGAGAAAAAGGAGAATCAGAGTGTCCTTTCTGTACCTGCTGTTTCTTAAGTGCCTAGAATTCAAAACAATCAATATGCCAAAGTGGCATATTTTGGGATGACATACTCTCGTTTACTTCAGTTGGTTTAATTCACAGCCTTTCCTCTGTGTAAGAGTAGAGGAAAAGTTATTCCTTCCCTACACCATACAATGCCCTCGAGGAATGTGGGCTTCAAGAGGTAGAGAGGTCAGTCAGCCTACCCTTATATTAATGTCATGTCATGGTCAGTTTAGACTTGGGATTTTCCCAAGGTTAGAAGGTTCCTGATTGGCATCTTAGAGACTTAGAGACAGGCACCTTTTGTCCTTGGCAGCCATGTAGTGGAAAGTACTGGAGGGATAAGGATCAAAGCTCAGCATTAGGCTTGTGGTGGCAGAAATAAAATAGGATCCACTAGGCTACCCAGACAAGGCATGGAAGCTAGATACCCAGTAGCCTAAGGTCAATTTAGGCAAAGTCTAGACTGCGGGCTTAATAACCTCAAACTTAAGCATGGTAAAAATGTGACTGAGGTTTTCATAAATTTAACACCTGTTGGCATTTGCATAACATCAAAATGTGGTTGCTAAGGGGATTCATAGAACACTGGGAAGATCATCAAGCGAGATACCATTTTCCTCAATAGATCTCTATTTCAGTTGAAGTTGTTTTCTTTCAGACAAAAGATGTCTAATGCAACTGTAACATATCCAAGTATAGAGGACGATAGTATGCCCAATTCTGAAACAGGAAAGAAATCATTCCCACTTCTATTTGGTGGAAATACGTTAAGGAGCAAGACAATAGTAAACACCCTTTGGTCTCTTTTTACTTATAAACAACAAGCGATGAATCCACTTTTGCAACCTAACCTGTTTGTGAGTAGAACTCCCACATTGGAAATGTTTGCAAATGCTTTCCCACCTCAGATACAAAACCGGTTTCTCATAGCAGTGACCTAACTTGAGAGTGGAGAGACTGGACCTTATGATTCTTTGTCCTTCTGACAGTACCAGTGAGATAGCAGATCTTTGATACATACTTAGTATTTGCTGACTACAGGAAAGGAATAGTTCTTTACGTAGCTTGGGAGGAAATGGCCCCAGAACAAA